AATAAGTGTCGTGTAGCATAGACACATGTGAAAGTAACTGCCTCTTTCAGCTGGCTATTAATTAAAAATTAACCGGCAAAAAGATTTTTATCGCATCACATAAGAAAAAAATCTAAAAACGTCAGAACAAAATCTATGGTATAGTAATTTGTCTTGCCATCATCTAGAGACTCTGAAAAAAGGTTTACACGATTTGAAATTAGTTTTGAATTTTTTATTTGGCTATTGAATCATATTGTTTTTTAATTTATATATTCGTTATTTCGTCATGTCGCTAATGAAAAGTGAATTGATTTGTTTGAAAAAGCAAAGCATACGCAGAAAAAAATTTCAATAGAGATATTTCAGCCTCAAAAACTGTTTACAGAATATACTGTTTCGTTGTCAAAAATATTGCTTCAATTCGAAGGTTTTTTTAAACTAAAATACATGAAGAGAAAGTCGATGTTGTTTTTCACATTTTTTTTTTACTGATAACTTCCCTCAAACAAAAGTCGATAATGCTGATTTTCATATAGTATCTAGAATAATTTCACATATATGTAAGATACAAAATTATCTCTAAGAAAGTTCATTATCTTGAGGTTCATATATTTTAATTTTACCAAGTCACATCGCTAACAAATATTATGACCCATGTACGAAATAGAGAAATTTGTTTCCTAGTTTTCTTGCAATCTATAAGAAGACTAGGCAACTGATATCCATTGTTTCACTAAGGTTATTCCGCGTGTCTTTTTGGGAATTTCTGGTTCTTGAAAAAGATACAAGCGTTAGGTTTCAAAATTTTACTACAAAAGTAGACTTTGAAAACAGGAAGCGCGCGCTCGAGGAAAAAGAATTTAAGCAAGATTTTCGTAATTTTTTTATAGAAAACTGATCATTTTTTGCAATACCTCAGATAATATCTCAAACCAAGTTTTTGACGTTCAGGATTCTGTAATACAGGATGGGAAGTTCACAAACGACAACGACCGACTTCAATTCTGGAGAATATGTCTAAGCATGTGTAGTAAAAATTTCAACCCGATAGAACAAACTTACAAATGGTTGTAAGCGATCCCAATGTGGTCCTATAGAAAGCTATCGTTTTCTCAGAAAAAAACGCGAAAACCATATTTAAAATTTTTTTTTTCTCAAACACTTCCCTCCTCATTTTATGTACAAACTAAAGAAATAATGAAAAAAACTGTAGCAAATAAAATAATAGGTATTAAAACATAGTTATATATATATATAAATGTATTCTGTTTATTTAATGTTGATTAATATCGATGAAAATGTGAAAACTTCGTATATGGCTGAAGTTTTGTCAGTTTAAATGTATAAAATAAAAAATAGCGCTGATTAATACATATTATAAATAATCCACTTTCATTTTTATCATAACAACATCAGTGATGATTTTAGTCTATGACGAAAAAGCAAAACAATGTTCATCATTCACTCTGCGTTTTATTATGATGAAATGTAACTAATATAAATTAACTTAATAATTGTTAAGCAGTTATAGATACTTCTGTATTGTTATTTCATTTCTTGGAAACATTGCGATAACAATATTTGTAATATTATATGAAAATGTATACTTAATTATATCAACATCTAATCACATTGCGAACCCAAGAATACAGAAAATTTCAATTAATTAACAGCAGTACTCCATGTCTTATCATCTTATTTCAAAATTGTATATAAAACTGCATTGACTTATAAAATCAAAAACATATTATATATCTTAACAATCATTAGCTTCAAAAAATTCACCTTATAACTCTACTTATGAAAAAATTCTCTTTCACATTGTAAATCTAATAATCGATTATATCACAAACTTTTTTGTAACAAACAAGTGTAGGTGACGATATAAATACAGCAATCATTTATATGTCAATGTCGATATTTAGCTAATGTCAACTGTTTGTTAATGAAGGCGGAAGCTACAACAATCTCGATATAAAGTTACATTTATATTTTAATGTATGAATTCCACAAAAAAACAAAGTAGTTTTTTTCTCATTTTTTTATATATAAAGCAATCAAAAAAGAATTACAGGAAAAAAATATTAAGAATCATTGGTAAACTTTCTTTTCACTATGATTCAGTTCTACTTCTTACACTCATATTGTGAATAATATTTCTTTTCTTTTTTATTTCCTGTCTTTAACTATAGAAGTTCAACATGGATGCATTATTGAATAAAAAATATTTGAATAAATATTGAAGTTTGATTTTAATTATCTCAAAACGCAAAGAACAAAGCTAAGTGTACAAAAACTTTCGTTTTTTTTGTTAATTTCTCTGTAAACGAAGGAAAGTTTTAACTGACGATTGAAAAAACAAATGTTATCGATTAAATCTCACACACGAACAGTAGAAACGAACCTCACGATGAATTAGAGAATGTCGTTTTTCTCACCATATGAACTATATGCTGTGAAGTTATAAAGAAAAGAACAGAACGGCCACGAAGAAAAACAACTTATTTTTTTTTTGAAAGAAAACAGAAATCTATAATTATTTATGCATAATATTAATGTCATCATACCTCTCATAACGATGATCAGTATATATAAAAGAAAATAGCAAACGTCACTGAAACGTGACTGATGTTATATACCATTAGTCGTTTGTGAATAATACAGTATTTGGTAGACGCATCTTATTGGCATTATTATTTGATTGAAAGAAATAATAGCAATAAACCAATAATGTAAGATTTACTTTACACACTTAGTTTATGTATTTTTTCGTAACTTTTAGAGTACTCCGTTCTTTCTTAACTCAAAAATTTTTTGTTGCGATTCTACAGTTTGAAAAAGGACGTATCTACTGAGTGCATTTTGTGACTCAAAAATCATTTTTAGACATTGAAAAGTTGCGAGAAGAAATCAAATTTACATAGAGTTTCTCCGTTGTAATAGGTCCGATTGATCAGAAACTTTCTTTACATATCAAAACACGTTTTGAAATGGATATTCGTTTTTTTTGTTTCAAAAAATGTTGTTCTTCTGATTTTGATAGCTCTTACAAAAAAAGCTCTATTCAAAATAAGGATGAATTTTTTAGTATACCTTCAATATTTTCATTATTTTATTCGAAGGACGGAAAATAAAAAATAATATCCATCCCTAACAGTTTCTAATATCAATTTTTTGAAAAATGTTGCTTGGAGAAAATGCTTGTAGCTTTCGAAGGGAAAGTAATAGAGACCTTCGGTTTTCTTTGTTGAATAAAATGTAGTGGAACATGTAGTACTATGAAATAATCAGACCTTCAGGTAACGTTTATCATGGTAAATTTTGAATATCAATTCGATGAAATTACCATTTCCTAAACATATGACAAATATTGATTTCCAAATAGTGAAATCAATATCTCGGATTGAGACTTATGATTATAGACCTACTCAAAGTTTGTATATCTTACAGTTCGGGTATTAAAAGCATTTATCACAAAAGTATCTATTTCTATTCAGATACAGACAAAAATTCTAAAAAACACTTGATATATGGATTATCAGATACTTTGAGCATTGTGGTTTTGTTTATTTGGAGTTTTAGAAATGCTTCTGAATTTGGATCAGCTTCCAAAAAGAGGTTATACTTTTGCGAAAAATGCTTCACTATTTGGAAGACAAAACTCGTCTTATGTTTAGGGAATGACACACTCGTCAAATTTGCATTCAAAAATGTACTACAGTAAACCTTATCTGAAGGTCGGTTTATTTCATAGTGCTATGTTCCTAGCTGTGCTCTATCCAACAATGAAATCACAGATCTCTATTACTTTTCCTGAAAAAGTTACACGCATTCTCTTCAACCGATTTTTTTCGAAAAATCGATCATATCTTTTCTTTTAAAGTAAGTAGCTTTGGTTTGAAAGTTTATTGTCTTAGAAATTTTTCCTTTTTTCTTTTATAAATTCAAAATCAAAACCTTTCGATTTCATTGATAACATAATCATTATCAAGACTACTTTTAAATAGCCGTGCACATCTGGCTTTTCGTTTCATATCATTGTTAATCATTAAATAAAAAATCCTAAACACTTTTATTGCTCATGTACAGTTAAGTTATCATAGTACAAGTTGTAGATAGATATTGAATTCTAGTTATCAAAAATAACTTCGATAATTTTTATAGTTATTTAATCTATTGTTTAGAATTAATTTGATAACTCTTCTAATTGTCAAAAAAAAGCGTGTAAAATGATACCAAACTATAGTTATATCTATATCACGCATATCTAAACAATATTTATTGAAAATTATGTGTACAAACAAGAAGTATACAATTAAAATAGGATGTGTCAAACACTTCTGTTTAATTGTTGTTTAAAATGTTCTAAACGATTAAAGATTTTCTATTTTCTTCGAGTCTTATTCTGCGGTTTGAACATCGTAAGATGGTAACAATAGTTGTCTTATAATTTTTTTTTCTTTGTCATATCATAAAAATCATAATTTTATGATTTAATAAAAAAGAAAAGGATTGGAAAAAAAACATGGTAATATTTTGTCAATCATATTCATTTCTATTCATAAGCAACTAACTCTTTCATTGTTTCATGTCACGTATTCCAAAGTTTACAACAGTATATTTCATTACATTAACAAAGAAATTTATACTAAATTATCTAGTAACTTATATGGTCTATGTGAGTTACATATTTTAGCTTCAAATCAACTGCAATAACAAACTATTTTATATTCTATTTCTTATAGTGAAAAATATTTTCGATGTTTTTTCTTATAACTTATCCATTTGTATATTCGAAAAGGTTATTAGTTATGCATAACTATCTGGTATTGATCAATCATTTTTTTTGATAAAGATTGACAAAATGACAAAATAATTAATAAAACCAACATAACATGATGTGTAAGAATAAAATAATCATTTCTTTTTTCTTTTTCTCTGTATACTGAATAAAACACTAATATGAATACATTTGAATTTCATTTCATATTGATTTTAATTGTTTTTACAGAAATATTATGTGCAGAATAAATCTATTGATATTACTTGCTGTGTTATTTTTTAATATTAGTATTCTAATATGGTATCATTTTAATAATTGTCATTCTATCAAAAAAATTACACAAATAGGAATTTTTGATAGATCTTCAGCTAATTCTACTGTTTATTATCTTGATACACAATGTAAATCAAATTTAAATGATTCTTCGACAATCAATCGTGCTAAAGAATTTAATATTATATTTGATACGCGCAGATGGAATGGCAATAAAAAAGAAAGTCGATCAGGACCAGGTTCAACATTAGAAGGTGCTTTTGATTGGATAAAACATTTACAAACATTTTTTCAATATTATCATATTCGATCTGTAGCTGATATACCTTGTGGTGATGTTTCTTGGCAATTCAGTATTCAAGAAATCAATACTATTGAACAAGTCTATTTTGGTGGTGATATATCAACACATGTTATTCAACGCAATAAAAAATTATATGGAACAATGCATTATAATAAATTATTCCAGTATTGGGATCTTGTCAGTTGTTCAATCCCAACATTTTCATATAAGAATTCAACGCATATAATTCAAAGTAATTATTTTTTTTTATGAAAATTTAATTATCTATTTCAATTGAGTTTCTATTGAAATAGATAATTCATTTGATTTGATCATTGTTCGTGATGCTCTTCAGCATATGCATATACAAAATGGTTTGAAAGCCGTACGAAATGTGATTAGATCTGGTGCAAAATATTTTGCATTAAGTAGTTATCCACCAAATCAAATATTTTCACCAAATACTAGTCGATCAATAAATAAAATGGAACCATTACCGAGGAAACCATTCGAATGTGAAATTAGAAATTATTGTAAAACAGGTGCTATCAAAGACGGTGATTTCTATGAAAATAATATTAATTGTTATCCATTTAATTTTCCATTGGATAAAGCAATTCTTGTTAAACCATCACATACGAAATTTATGACAGAATATGATGAAATACATATATATAAAATTGATGATGAATTGAAACATATTGTTGAACAATATGACAATGCATGCATTTAATAGATAAATAAAACTTAAAATACAAAGAAAAATAGTCTACACATATTGATTAATGTTGCATTATTGAGAATAAGAAAATAGGGAGCTGCAGGCCCATATTTTTTTTTTGTAGATCCAGATTCGAACCAGCAGCTCACTACAAAAAATATGTTTATTCACGTTTTCCATAGTTATCGTGTTCATGAATATTTGACCACAAAATACATCATATGAAAATATTCTTCCACAATGAAATAGAATTTTTTATACTAAATACGAATGATTTTTATTTCTATACAAATTGATAATATTAAGAAAGTGAAATTTTGTTTTATGTACTACGGAAAATTTATTAAAGATTTTGTATCGTTAAATAGTACTATTTAGCACGATATTTTATTTTAATTATGTCAATTGATACTATTTATTAAGAATTTTTAACCTTAAAATATAAAATCCGTAGCTTCTCGACTAAATCACATAACAGAGATGTCTGAAAATAAAGAACTGTTTATATATATTCGAGGCGAACATTTGCTATAATTATATATTGTGTAGGCGGAAAAGCAACAGGACTAGGAGTAGGCTCAAAAATTTGTTTCTCGTTTCGTCAGATGAATAGATTCAAACAGTACATCAAAATTCTTATAGACACGTCAAAATTTTTCACTACTATCGACAGTAAATTGTAGCATTTCTGTATTGAAGATGACTTAGAAAACTTTTTAAAGTAAATTTGAAATTTCACATCTTACATTGCCAGTAACTTAAAGTAGTACTCCTTTGTTACAAGTAAAGAACTGTACGGGAACGTCGAGTTAGATACACTACAAGTTGTCAAAAGTTTTTTTTTGTTTTCCATTACTAAGCCTTTATGCCTATGCAACATTTTCAACAAAATGAGCCAATTAACAATGTAGTTTCTTTTGTTTTATGAACATTGCTGTTTCATAATCATTCTTATTTTTTTGTCAGTAAAATAGATCTAAAACGCTTCCTGCAAGAGTCGAAAATGAATGATGACAAATGTTGACGTGTTTCTTTAAGGATACTCCTCCTTTCCGAGGTTTCTTGAGAACAGCTCATCAGAAAAATTTGAAATTTTCAGGGCAGATAGATCTTGATGAGTGCAGCAAAGGTTGTCATAGACTCAAAATTCCCTGATGCTGTCTTCTATGAGATAATAGGATCACAATCTCGAAAAATGGTCCTAGTTTTCGCCCCCGTTTCTTCAAGATGGTATGTTCGCTTGAGCTGAAAATTTTTTTTACGGGTAGTAGACACTGTTTGGGGTGCATATATTTTTTAGTTTCTTTTTATCTTTTGTTGTTTCAATAAAAAAGTCAAAATACTGAGCCTACCCTAAAAAACGCTTGTTTTTATTCCTCGAGCAAATTTTGTGAAAGCTGTCAAAAATCACCAGACCAATAATTCTTGAAAAAAAAAATACTCACCCCAAGTGGTGAGTAGCATATGTAAGAAAAAGTTTCAGCTCGATCTATCTTACCATGCCGGAGAAACGGGGGTGAAACAGTACTTTTCCTACTAAAAATTTAATTTTGAGAAAAAAGCAATTAAAATATAAAATTTTAGCTATTTTCACTATGTAAATTTAATTTCTCCTCGAATTTTTTAATCTTTAAAGGCAATTGTTGTGTTCCAAAATATAGTCAGTAGATAGACAGTACTTGAAACTATACAATGGCCACAAAAAACCAAAAATGAAAAAAACAAAAATTTTGGACGAGGAAAGGAGAGTATCCTTAAATGCACACAAATTGCGAAGTTTTTCTGACCGGTAACAGCTTTATACAGTGAAAAATATGAGTTGGAAAATAAGAACTATTGAATGTATTTTGTTTGAAGGAATAAAAAGACTCCCTTTCTCTCATCTGAACTTTTCGGCAGGAGACTTATAAATTTCATTGAACTGTCATCGTCTTATTGTCAGATATAGTTTTGAAAATTTCTTCGTATGTATTCTAGATTTTCGAAATGTCTTGCTTCTTTTGTGTTTTGATTCCAGCCGATGTCTGTTTTTACAAATAATTTTAGTTGATCTAATAATATTATCAACATATTGAGACAGAAAAAAAAAATTTTATGATAAATTTATTGTAAAGATCTATGTAGAAAAAATAATAATTAATTTTTATTTGATGTTCTATCACCAACACTTCTTGACATAGCTTTTTTTCCCCATTTATTCATAATAAGATTGGCCACTTTATCTGGATTAAATTCATCTTTCATATCATCGAAAACTTTCATATATTCAATAAAGTTTTTATTTTCTTTTCTAGAAAATCGAAAAAAGAAAATTTTTCTCTTTTCTGATTTATGTTTTAAATTAATATCTATGAAAAATTTTACTTATCAAATGCAATAAGAAAACATGCTTCTTTAGCAACACCATTATAACCATATGATGAATATTTATCCATAAGTATTCCATATGTTTTAGCTGCATCTTTATTAAAATCTGAAGCCAATTCAAATTTTATTTTTTTCTGAATTTTATATGCATCTAATGTCCAATGTGTATCGGTACTAATACCAATAATACGAACATTTAAATCTTTAAATAATTTATTATATTTTTCATTGATACCATTTAAAACCTCAAAATACAAATCTAATTATTAATTCAATCGTATTCAAATGTTTAAAATAAAACAAAAAATTAATTAATAATATGAATAATTTATGCAAAAAAGAAATCAAATCAATACAGTATAATAATAGAATTATTTTTTAATTAATATATTTAATTATTATTTTTTTTTTACTTTATTTTCATGTTTAGTAAATGCACATGGAAAAAATGCAAGTAGAACGGGTGATTTTTCTGTTGCAGTAAATAATGAAAATTTTGTACTTTCAGTTGTCCATAAATGTATATTTTTAGCTACATCTCCAGCTTGAACTATTTTTGACATCGAAATAATGATAAAAAATCAATCATATAAAAATAAATAATACGAAATTAAATACGCGCTATAATCTTTTTTTTTTCTGTTTCGTGGATTTGAACAAACATTCCATAAACAGTGCCTCCCAAAATCATTCGATTAGGTTTATTTTCTACTTTTTTTTCCGCTATCACCAAGTCTAATAAGAACCCAAATAATGTTTTGTGTGAAGAAATTTATTTTGAACAAGAATTTTCAAAGATAACAATGATTGTTAGTTTTTCAAGGATGGAGTCTCTAAGAAATCGAAATTCAAGTTTTTTATTTCCTGAAATTCTTTTTGAATTGCCTAGAATGATAAAGCAAATAATTCTCTGCTATGTTTTCGGTCTAGATACATTAATTTTACGAAAGCCACAAAAACTGATTTATCCATACGAAATAGTAGAAACAATTGCTATATCATTCTGAAGAATTCAAACAGAATTCCAATAGATCAAAGATTTGAGTTTCGACTTTTCCGAAGTCTCATTCTTGAAAAACTAACAATCAATTTCATTTTTGAAAACTCTTATTCACAATGATACTCTCTACACAAAATCAATATTTGAATTCTGATTAGCTTTGTTGATAGTAAAAAAATTGAAAATAAACCTAATTGAATAATTTTGATAATCATTATATATTCAATATTATATCAAGCAATTTTGAAAGACAAAAACTTGAATAAGAACACTATAAATGTAAACAAATAAATCACACAAATGCATTTGAATTTAATTTATAAATAAGAATTTTCGAGTTTTTTTATGTTCATTGATTTATATTTATAGATTAGCATTGATTTGTTGTTCCTGTAATTTTGATTCCCTCACAATATTGGAAGTCATTCAAGATGTCTCGAGCTGATTGACACTATTAGCAAATGATATCACATCTTTGTATTACTGATTGTGAAATTAATGTCAAAAAATTTTCTGATCAGAACTAAAAACGATTAGGTCCGCCCATTACTAGTCACACATGATGTTTTTTTTATCTGTGATGATGATCATACTAAGTAAAAAGAAAGGATCGAAAATTTCTCTGTGTAAAATTAACCTCAATTACACCAATATGATTCATTTGCTTTATATGTCGTAATATATTATTTTATCTGGAACTCAAAAGAAAAAAGAAATGAAAGTTATATATTGATATAGATATTCAATCTTTTTCTTAAATAACGTACCATGGTAGATATTATATATACATATATATGATTTGTTCGATATGTTGAAAAAGCATCTTGTTGTTTTTTAAGGTTGAAGAAAAAAAGAAAGATCGAAAATGCTATCCGATATACCTATAAGTTATAATTGCATATGAAGAATACTTTGACTGACTGAATATCATTTCATAACACTTGATTTCTATATTATATTTCTAACGTGATATTTTCTTTTGAACAAACTAAAAGTACGAATGACCATATTTTGAGTATATTCGCTGTTTTATTTTGTCGTTACACATAAATTTTTGATTTAATGATTTTTTTTTTATGTTACAAAAAAGAAATTATTAACACTCTATATAAGTGTCACACCTCTTGACGTATTGTTCGTTAAAATGCGTTTGAATTGTAGAAACTTAAAAAAAAGAAAAGAAAATATGTTTTCAGGCGTTCTTCTTTAGTTTATTTAGTAATATTATATGAAATTCTACAGCTAAGTACAATTTATAATAATAATAATAATACAATCAAAAACATATTCATTTATGTTTCATTAAAATATCGAATTATAAATATAGACATGTGACTTGATGACATACATACGTCATGGGTCTGCATGGGATGGGATGATTCTGAAAATTTTCTCGTCTCATTCCATCCCACACGAAGCTCTGATATGTGTACTACACAAAGAAACATCTTTTCTTTTTTCTTGTATTTACAATTGATTTAATCAGACGTTATAGTAAATCAAAATTTTAACCAATACTTTCATATTTATTTGAAGCAAATAGAGATGTTTTTTGCATGATCTTACTTTCTTTTTGGACGAATTTATATTCAAATAAGAATCGATTATATTAGATAATTACTATATGATCATAATCAATAAAGAGAAAATTATCTAATATGAAATTATCATAATTTTTTATTGAAATAAAAATAATAACAAATTAAAAATTAAAAAAAATAAGTCAAAGATTTTTTTTTTTGCTATTATATTTCTTGTTTTTTTTTTTTATTAAAAACTTTATTTCATAAAATATTAAAAAATAGATTTATTATAACAGAATTTACATGTGTTCTTTCAATATCATCATTAACCAGTCAAGAGTTCCCTCTATCGTCATCAACAAATAAAGATATGATAGAGAAAGCGAGACCTATGATAGAGCATCATGGTACCATTGATGACGCATCTACTATATAAATTACTAATATGAATTCGTCATCTTGTCCACATAGCCACAGCTTGAAATCAATGAGAATAAGTACATAGGAAAAAAGAAAAGAAATCGGACATTTTTTTTTTGTTCGTTCATTATTGAGATTATTCTTGTTGATATCGTTGCTATTGTGGCTTTCACTATTTGTTATTTTTTTGCCTTTACTATTATTCTTTTCAACATCAATTTTTATTAATCGATGTTTGGTATTGGCAACAGCAGTGGTGACGTTTTTCACGTTACTCTACATATATTTTGTTATCTGCTTATTGGTGGTTGGGCGTTCCTTGCTACATTCCATCTATTGGGTATTATCTATGGGTAAGAAAAGATTTAATACACGTCAATCATAGTATTTTCACCCTCACCTAGTATATACGTTTAATTGAATCAATCTATACAAAAATAGCGATTAACATAAATATCCGTCTGCGTACCATAATTATTGGAGGGTATATTCAGGCATAACATTTACCTGAGTGTGTTTTATATTGATTGCAAACAAAAAGAAAGAAAGAAAAAAAAGAAATTTTTTTTTTCGAGTGTATACGTATTCATATAAACCTCTTATTTGAATGTAAATAATATAGTCATTTGCATCATGAGACAATTATGATTAAGGGTTGTACTCTAACTTTACATGATAATTACCATTTGAAGTATCATTTTCAGTAGTTAATTAAAGAATATTTGAAGATGAAATGACACTACTAGAAATAATGTCTATATCTTAGACTTTGACCTTTATTAATTGATGATCACCTACATAAGCATGAATCATAACAAAATGCAACCAATTCTTAGTTTATTCTGGTTGACCTGATTATTTTTAGTGAATGAATGATATTGAATATGATTCACAGAAGAATAAAATAATCATTCGACTACATAAGTGCATTATTTAAAAAATACATTCAGTAATAATGACAAAATGCCCTAAAAAAACAAAGTATATGTATGCCCTATGTTTTTGTTATCTTTTGTTTAATATAATCAACAAAAAAAACAACAACATATCGATCGTAATTAGCTGCTTTGACCGCAGAATAAAAATCTCTTGAGATTTTAATTATAAGAATTTCTCATGGGAAATATCATTTTATGGTTAGCATACATATTTCACTCGTAAAATGATAATATTAATATTGAGTTGTTTAAAGAGAAAAAAAAAATGTTATGATACTATTAAATATCAATATTCCATAACTAGAAGAGTTTTATTTTTCAAGAATCTTATTGTTCTCAATTTCGAAAAAAAACAATGGATAATATCTATCATAATAGATGAACTCAAAATGAATATTTTCTTTTGACATACTTTTATAAGAATCTTGAAAAAGTTTTTTTTTCAAATTGCCCATGCCCAATAATAGTTAAATTTTTTCTTATGTTCGCCGACAATATCCACATTCAAGAAGTGGATTGTTTTGAATTTAAATAAAAACTGCAATAGAAATATAGACCGAAACACTGTTGTCATGGCTAATTTCTTCACTTCCTTATTGTTTTTTTTTTCATGCCATTGAGTTGAAATGAAGGTGCTGCAATACTTTTCTTTTTCTTTTTCTGTATTTTTCTTTTCTTATTTCTTTCTATTGATTATTAAGAAATTGTCTCGTTCTTCCTCCCCTCATATTCGGTTTTTACTCCGTTCTTTTGCTCAGTTTTGTATTCGTCATCGTCTTCATCATTATTCTCGTATTCATTCATTCATTCTTTTGTGTATATCATCACTTTCTCTCTGTCTCTCTCTCTTTTTGTCTCTTGTTCTTCGTTATACGCCTCCGTACTTTTAAAAAACAGGAGCAAACAGATACACGTAAAATGTAAAGTACCGATGACAAAATATAATCGAGTATCATCTGTTACAATTACCTTTGATCATGTTCTTTCTTCATATTTTGTACACAATTGCCCTTGCTATAAGTCTTGTTTTGGCTATATTAATCATAATTTTGGTATGGTTATTTCATCTTAGTGGAATGAGTTACAGGTAAGAATTCATTTTTTATTCATTTGAAAAGTTTTCCTTGATATAAATCAATTTCTGTTATTAGTTGTTGTTTTTTTAAAATAACTCATAAAATTATTTTATGACGCAAATAAATGGAAATTAGAATAATTTTTTTTCCACGTGTGATAATATATTTTGATGATATTTTTTATTGATACGAATGTTATTGACAAATTTTTCTTCATGATTTTTCGCTATATTATTGCGTAAAAAAAAAAATATAAAAATAGATTAATGATTATTTCTTTTTTTCTTTTAATGATCACGATTTGTTGACCAACGACTTTCGTTTAATGTTAAAATGAATGCTTCTTTTCTTTTCTTATTGTACATGCATATACATATATATACAATATATAGATATCGATCTATACACATGAATGAATTGATCAATTCTAAGAGCGTGCGTCGATGCGAAATAAAGATATAGTGTCAATGATAATGAACTTGACCTCATCTTTGCATTTTTTTTTGTTCTCTCTAGAGACGTCCTCGACTATCATAATAATAAGTAAAGAAATCAACAAAATATAAAAAAAAAAAAACAATGATGAATTGGTTCGATCACATAATGTAAAGATGTATGTTTTTGACGCATGCACATTTTTCTACTACACCAAATTCTGGTGTTTGTATTGTGTGTTAAAGAATAATAAAGAAGCTTAATACGAAGAAAAAAAAAAGCATTAATTGGTATTTTTCATTCTTTCTTTACGGAAGACGGAAAACAAGAAAAATATCAAGCAGGGACATTATAACTAAAATACGAAAACCAAAAATATGTAGATTATTCGACAATATCAATAAAAACAAATTGAAATTCTGTATACAACACCTACACATGCTGTTCAGAAAATTTAATTGATTATTGTTTGTTTTTTTAAATTATAAATAGAAAAAAAAAATATATACAAGAGAAGAAAATATACTAATTAAAATTTTAATAAAATAGTCATGTTTATCCAATGAATGATATCTTTTTTGTCTTTTTATTCTTTAGTTTATATAAATTCCACCGAAAGCCATCACATAGTAATCTCAAGGAACTACCAGGCGTTTCCATAATTAAGCCACTAACAGGAATCGATACAAATTTATATGAAAATTTAAAAACATTTTTCAATCTTCAATATCCTCGTGTATGTTTATCATATTAAATTAATTTATAATTTCATTGTTTTTTATTTCATTTTCTTTTTTTTTGTGTTTTTAAACAGTATGAAATTCTTTTTTGTGTACAAGAACACGACAATGAATTAATTGATATGATCGAAAGACTTCGAGAAGAATATTCAGATGTTGACTCGAAATTATTTATCGGTAAGTACATTCAAAAACACAAGAAAAACAAAATTATCAATTCATTCTCTATTAAATAAATATTTAAAAAAAATAAAATTAATAACAGGAACCCAATTATCTTCTGTAAAACAGGAGAGCGAGGTTGATGAAGAGCAGGAATATGACGACACACCATTGGTAACAACTATTAAAGATGAAAAACTACGACGAAAGCAAATTTCTTTTTGGAACAAGTTTTTACGTTGTGGTATATAGTTTTCTTTCTAACCTTTCTATTTCATGGTCATATGCTTGAAGATCATAAATAGATTATTTAATTTATGAAAAAATAAAATTTCTATTGATAATAATTTTAACCAAGAACATAAAAATTAGCTTTTTTTTTTTTATCTATATTCTAATTAACATTTATTTATTTGTTTTTCTTAAAAATTTATTATTTATTTATTTCTTTAAATAGGTTCACAAAAACTTTTATCCGGTGATAAATTATTAAAAAATGGTACAATGGATATTAAAAATCCGAAAATATATAATATGTTACCTGCCTATGAAAAAGCTCAATATCCATATATATTAATATCAGATAGTGGTTTAATGATGCATGAACATACATTATATGATATGGTTATGTGTATGACCGATAATGTTGGTCTTGTTCATCAAATGCCATTTACATGTGATAGGAAAGGTTTTGCTGCATCTGTTGAAAAGGTTTGTCTAATAGATTTAAAACGAAAGAAAATTAAATTATATCATTATTTATTCGAGAATAACACAATTATAATAGAATCTTTGTCCTTACGTATTCGATATCAAATAGTAACAAAAAATAAAAACAACAAAGAAACAATTTATTTTATATTTCACAAAAAAAAAAAAAAAAAAAATTAAAGACAAATATGTACTTTTTTATGAAAATAATTTAAAATTGAATTTTAAGTAATCGAAAAATTAATATTTTAGTTTTTCTTTTTTATTTAAGGTTTATTTCGGTACACAACATGCTCGTATGTATATGACAATCAATTTAATTGGTATAAATTGTGTTACTGGAATGTCATGTTTAATACGTAAAGAATGTATTGATCGCGTTGGTGGTTTACGTGCTTTTGGTCATTATATAGCGGAAGATTATTATATAGCTTATGAAGTAGCTAAACAAGGTTGGAAATTACGTGTTGCATCAGCACCAGCACAACAAAATTCAGGCGAATATTCTGTATCAACATGGATTGATCGAATGATTCGATGGTGCAAATTGAGAATGCGTCTAAGTCCATTAGCTTATTTAGAACCATTACAAGAGTGTTTTTCATCAGCTATATTAGCTGGTATAGTTACAAATTATTTATTTGAATGGAATGCTCTTGTTGTTGCTGCTTGTCATATTTTAATATGGTTCATTCTTGATTATCTTATGCTTCGAATAACACAAGTATAGTATTTTTCTTTTTTTTTTTGAAAAGATGAATACTTTTAGATTATAATATATTTATTTTTATTCTTGTTTTATTTTAGGGTGGTGCATTACCTTTTTCAAAATTTGAATTTGCTATCGCATGGCTTGTTCGCGAATTTTCATCATTTTACATCTATTTTAAAGCATTCACTGGTTCGTCAACAGTTAAATGGCGTGGAAAAGAATATCGTCTTGGTTCAGGTACACGAGCAGAAGAATTATCTCCTTTATCGTTACCACCACCTGCACCATCTCTTCTTGTCGAATCATCATCATTATCATCTATATCATCGTCATCATCATCCTCTAATTCAACATTGCCAGTGGCTGGACCACATCTTTTATCTTCATCATCATTATCATCTACCAAACAATCATCTCAACTTGTATGAAATTGTTTTCTTTATCATGTTTTTCATTTGATCTCGTTTGTTTGTTTTTTCTCATTTTTACTCATATACGTGCTGGTCACGTTAAACTCGTATGGTTACAATTTATGATGAAGATAGTATAACACTTATTCTCTGGCGCTGTCTTAATCCGAGTTTTCAACAATAAGCTTAGCATTTATTATTCATCTAACAGTGTTTTATTTGTTCTATTCTCTACTATTTTATATCTATTTCTTTTTTTTTCTTCTGTCTTGATCCTAAGAATGATTCTTGTCTGTTCATTTGTCTTGTTCTTTTTGTTGTCTTTATCTTCTTATTCTTCTTGTTCTTTTTTTCTATTGGCTTCATACATTTGTTCTTTTTTGTCTTTTGTTTGTTTGGTGATTATTGTTATATGCTGAGAAATAAGAAAAAGAAAAATGCGTACTTAAAGAAAAAAAATAATCTTCGATAATCAAAATAATTGATTTAAAAGAAATAAAAAAAAAATATATTGATGTGTTTCCTTATGAAAAAAAAAATATTCTTACAATTGATTAAGACATCCGTATCGAAAATAATATATAATGGTTTTGTTTCTGACGAAAATGGTTCATTGGAAATGTATAAGAAACAATATATTGTATTCATGTATATATGAAAAATATAGGTGTAGCAAGCAAATGTTTAGTACAAAATACTATTATTATTAGAATACTAGAAGTTGTGGTTAGAGAGGGGGGGGGGGGGGAGAACGAAACTTATCGTGACCCGAAACCTATCACCAAACTAATCTCCTCTGCAACCTTATTTACCTTGCAATGACATTGTCTATTATTTTAATTTTATGTTGTGGCAGAGAATAATAAATGATATGTTTAAAATTTTATATCTGTTCAAAGCTATCACGAAGTTGTAAATGATTGGCAAAAATTCGAATATTCGGAAAATTCCAATCAAGAACTCTGACTAAGACTATATGGCAAAGTTATTCTAATAAGATGACAACATAGTATTCAAAACTTTTGAATACTTCTAAGTACACTTGATACTCTTATTAGTATTTTAAAAATGATATTGACATGAATCAGAATTCATTGTATGCTATTGAATGTAATAAAGTATCTATTTCATCATGCATTTTTGTAAAGAAACTATATCGTCTTTAATTGTCAGTGCTACTTATAAGGTCATCAACAAATTTGATGTGTTCAATAATGTATACAAAGTAAGTATAATTCTTTATGCATACATTTTTTGTTCACAATTCAATTCTTTTGTCATACTTTGTTGTAATACAATATTGAATTATGATGCTTGAAATAGGAAAAGAAAATCAGTAGTTAAACAAACCAACATAAGAATGTAAAACAACCGATGAAATAAAAAATTCACTTTACGTGATGTCAATAAGAAATTCAAAAATACCACGTATGTATACAATACGATAATGTGATATTTGTTTTTAATACATACTTTCATCTGTAAGTCAATAAATGAATTACAAAATTCAATACTGCCAAAATAAATTGCATAAAAATCCTTTAGATAAGTCACTAGTCTTAAACTGTGTATTAAATATGGCCATGAAATCTACAAATATTGACAGAATATTAAGTGATGTATAGATATCTTGTACTAACAAGATATAATCCTATATAACTATAGATATCATAGAGTTGGTAATAAAATATTCAAATTTTAATTGAAACAAACCTTCCTTTTAAGACCTCACCCCCTCATACAAAAGTCAATTTTCATCAGAAAGGTCAAAATTGAGATAAATACATGAAGAGATAGCTCGTCATTTGCTCTTTCATAGACGATAGAAATTTTTCTTCGATGCCTCATTTCTGTTTCAGAAAATATTCGAGATTCCTGACAACCCCTATTTGAAAAACCAGCGTTTTTTTGAAAAACGAAAAAAAAATCTTTTTCGCTTTTTTTCTCAGTTCACGATATGTCGAATGCGCAATCCGTTTTTCTCAGTCCCAGTTCATGTGATGTGTTTAAATTTTTTTTTTTTTGTTGGAAAGAGCACGTCAAGACACAGGTCACCACAATCCTTTTTTTTAAATAAGCTTTTTCATAATAATATAAGAAAATATCTCTATAGAAAAACCGCCATTTTTTAGCGGTTTTTTTGAGTCATTGAACTTGTGATTGCTTCTTTTCGCTTAAAAAGTAAGAATTTAAAAAAAGGACTCTGTGGTGCCCTGCATCCTGACATGCTCTTTCAAACAAAAAAAGAATTTAAATACATCACATGGACGGGAACTGAGAAAAATGGGTTGCCAAAATTGCTATCTTTGACTCTTGTTTAACTGGTGTTTCCGTCAAAGGTCATAATATCGGGCTAAAAATTTTACCATAGCTTTTCCACAACAGCTCCAACATATTCTGAAAATTTCATGTCATTTGAACGTTCCTGGGCTGATATCGATATTTGACGGGAGGGGGCCTTAATGTTAGATTTTATTATTTTCTTTCTTTCAAATTTCAATTCTGAAAGTACTTTATTTTACTACCTTTGTTATCATCTTTCAATAAATATAAACATGAAGGTCATTTAAATCATTGTCTCATATTATAAACTATTAGACATTATCTATCAATTAATCTTAAATATGTACTATTAGTAGCATTCTATTTGAAACAATGACATATAGCAGTTGATGAATGTATCAATATATTACAATCAAGTCGTACTTGTTCAAGAAAGAAGTATGAACATATCAAACAGAGATCCAGAAGACGAGTTTTGTGCTTTAGTCCAGTCGCATCTAACATTATGCAAATCTGGACGGAATAAATGCTGCGTTATTCTATTGTTTGAGGTGTTTTCGGAAAAATATCGAAGAAAACAGAAAGAAAAAGAGACGTAGTGGTTACACATAAGTATAATTAATGGCGTGGGACAAACTTCACAAAGTTATGATATCAACATTATTAGCAATAATAATAAATCAGATAAGAATAAGAAAGATTTTTATTTATATATCTATAGATAATTAATACCAACTTATCATAAATAATAATAATTTAAAGGAAGAAAAAAGCGAAACTTCTATGCAAAAAAAAGTCTACATGCGATACCTCAAATGATACTGACTTTTAATTGAATAAATAATTTCGTATATCAATATATATGAAACAGAATATATGACCATGCAGTAAATTCTGTTCTTTATTTAAACATTAAAACTGATGTATTATTAATTAACTGACTACAAATATTCACGTATATGAATTGAATATTTATTTTAAATAATAAATGATAATAAGAATACGCCATGGCAATATAAAACCAAAGAATAAGAATAAAAAGATCTATAGATGTGCAGAAGAGAAAAAAAAACGAAACCAATCTTGATTATTGAAAAAATGAATTCGATCATAAAAAAATTGTTTCATCGACAGTCCTAAAGAAAATCAAAAATACTAATCACTAATATGTTACTATTATTTTTCAATAGTTAATTAAATTACTAAGAAATGAGAAAGTTTCTTCTCAAAGATTTTCACTTACCCTTTGCTATTTTTTTATGATTCGACAGATTGTTGTTGTTGTTCTTCTTCTTCTTCTTCACTATAAACTTGATTACTATTGCCAATCAAAGTTGTTGAAGTAGTATTTAATGATTCTTCAGTAATATTCAAAGTATTTGCTTGATATTCTTGTTCATTCAAATTTTGTTTATTTTCAACCTGATAATCAGTCGATATGATACTATTTCGAATACAAGCATTCCGAAGTTCTTGTACATCTTTATTTGAAATTTCAGGTTGATAACCTGTATTTACTTGAGCTGTACTAGTATTCGACGAAACAATATTATTTACTGTAGACATCTGATCACAGACCAAATGTTCAGTGGATGTCGGTGGTGATAATATAATACTTTCTGTACTTGTACTTTTGTCTACCTTTTTTGTAGATGATTTTTTATTTAATTTTGGTTCTTTTTTCTTTTTATTCTTCTTCTTTAGTTGTTTGTTATTTTCAATTGTTGTCAGATCAAGATGATTTTTCGTATTTTCAACAGTTGTAATTGTTTGTTTCTGTTCATCTTTGGTTTTTCCCAAGATTGATACACTTTTTGTTTTGGTTAATTTGGCACCCATGATATATATCTACTAAAATGTAAAAAGTGAATACAAAACGATATATAAACACGCAAGATATAGACAATATTGAATGTGTGCACGAATAGTGAATCAAGTATGTCTGAGAACAGGGAGCTGCAAGCAAGTACTGATACAAAAGAAGAACGAGAGATAGAAAAGACAGAGATAACAATGGAATGTATGTTGTCGATGTATATGTATACAGCGTTGTTGTTTTTTAAGTATTCTAGGATGAATCTTTCTCTTATAATGATCGACAGCATTGACCATCAATAATGATAATAGTAGAACAAAAAAAAGAGTAAAAAGAAAAGATATAACGGTCAATATCATATGTAAACATAGTTATCTATTGATGAGAACAAAACTGAATATGTTCGACATTAACGAAAAACAAAACCGTATGATATAAGTAATAAATACTTGAATTTTTAAGTATACAAATAACATATGATCTGGTGTTATGATATTTGTCTTGTTATTGAAATCTATATTGATGAATTGTGAAATATCGAAAATTGTACAGCTATAATTGTGGTTATTGTTTCTAAAATGAATAATGTATTACGAACATTTATTAAAAATCTTAAATTATGATATGAACAATAAACTCAAAAATATGCATAAATAGAACAAACATGTTAAAGATCAAGTTCGAATACGTTCAACGACAAATACCTTCCAAGCAAATAAAAATCTTCGGAATAATTTCTTTTCATTTGATAGATTCCATTTTGCAATCATGAATCGATGAATACATAATTAGGGATATCTATTGAGTGTTAATCTATGTTACAATGTTCTAATTAAATCATCCATCACATTAGAATTGAATGAAAAGAGTAGCAAACTGTGAAATTGATATTTTGAGAATATATATGTTTTTTCTACAAGAAGATCATCTACGACGACATCTCCAGATTTAACTCATTTATATCTCATTCAAACAAGGATAACGAAATAGTAAAAAAAAAGAACAAAGAAAATTTTTCTCCAAGATTGTTCCTTCAAACATGATGAATATCATGTTTTTATCATTCGCTTCTAATATTCAAGAAAATTAGAAAATTTATACGACAGCTGTAATAAATTATAAGAGTCTCAAATTTTTAATAGAGATTGTTCTAGTAATCTAATCAGGACAAGCATTTTCAATCGCCGAAAAGAGCACAATTTCTGTCGTAAATGTTAAAAAATAATACCTCGTTGTCATTGGTTTTTGGATCGTACGCTGTCGTTTCTAGATTATGAAACTGCCAAGGATTAATTATATTTAGGCCGGTTAGTTTCTATGCAGTAGCTTGCATATGCTTTCTGTTATTATGAAAAGTTTTATTTTATAAGTAGACTTTATACAAAGAGATTAATGAGTACACAATAAATCCATAGTATGAGTGTGAAAGAAGATGGCATACAGAAACAATAGTGACGTGTCGAAAAGGATAATCATAAATTCTTAGAGATGAACTAGTTGTTTAACACGAACACACAACGTTCTGTAAAGATACTTTTTGGAATAAGAGAATTATCACATCCGTTTTTCTACGTTTTCAAACATTGATCAACTATGATTTGCATACAGAGCAATCAAAATTAGAATTGCAACTTGAAAAAAAAAATAAAAAAATTGAATATCTAGAATATACAAGAATGAATCTTCTTAGCTAAGATAATTGCCAAAAAAGAAAATTGTATTCTTTTTTTCAAGATTTTATTAATCAGCATTATGATGATCATCCTGTAGACCGACACAAAGACTTATCTGATGGGTACGCATCATTTCGTCCAATAAATCTCAATAAAGTGCCTTGTATACGAGGCAATGTAATCTGACATTCATTGCTGAGCAATCTCATCAAGTATTGAGGTAATCATATGTCTAGCTTGAACATTCACATGATCTCAACGAGGTAGAGCATACTGAAATAATAACTAAAGATGAAATGGAAAAATAAATATTAACATAGATCGGATGTAAACGCTATTGTAAAGACATATTCAAACTTTGAGATGTCAAAGTTTTGAACAAACATGGAAACAAATATTGAGCTTTTTGAAAGTCTTCCATGCTTCTATTCAACTTAACTTCGTGCAGAGATATATTTTTGAGGACCTGAACAATGGCTCATTAGGACATTTATTCGTAAGTGTGAGTGTTGATGTGAATCTTCTCTTTATCTATACCTCACATCCATATCCTACGTGATACTTAGTTTGAATTTTAACTTATGAATTCTACATTCTACAATAGTCAAAACGATAAATAAATTATAGATTGTAAAATATTAACAGTGGCAAACAAAATAGCAAATAAGATTATGAGTAACTTGTATATAAAAAGTCTTTGCACAAAATATATGATCAATTTTCGCTTATTTGTTAGTCACTGAGAAGAATCAAAAGCAATCAGCTAGAATTAGAATATCATGTTCTTTCTAATTTTATATTCAGAAATCTTCTTCTTCTGACTTTAAGTAAGTCTATAGAGAGCAAATGTTTAACGAAGGTCAAAAAAACAGCATGTATGCATGATTTCTTATGTAATTTAGTTTTGTATTTTTGAGAAGAATTGTTTCGATTTGACCTACAAGAAAGTCTTTTAAACATCTAGTGATAGAGCGATAGTTGCTCTACAAAATACCAAATTTATTTCTCTTTCTGCACATTTACTAAAAATAATTAAATTCTATTGGATTCTAAATACAAAAATTCCAAAGAAACCTCTTCTCCTGAAAACTGCTATCTCACTTAAAAAGTAAGTGTTAGAAGAACTGTCTATAGATTTTGATTTTTTAGAGTTCGGCTTACTGAAATGTATAATTTAGTAGAAAAATTAAATTCTATGCAACATGAAATGATCAAAACTAACCAAAATCGTTATTTATAGTAGTAATGAATAATAGAAGAAATTCTATTTGTGCTTAATGAAAACAACATTTTTGATTCATTGAAACATTTTGCTCACAGCTGATTAACTGTAAGTCAATAAAAAAGTTGTTAACAATCATTTAGAAAGAACATCGAATTCTAATTTCAAATGACTAATTTTGAATTTTTTCAACGATATATCGATGTCCGAAAAATGAGCAAATATATTTGTGAATATCTTTTAAATTGATATTTTTTGTAACCATTGACTTTACTTGCCATCAGAGATCGGTTTCCGTGAACTATTTTTAATCTAGAAAGAAAATAATAATATATTGTTAGAAAGAATATGAATTCATGATTCTAGATGATTATTTTTAATTCTCTCCAGTGACTGATAAATGAACAAAAATTAATAATATATAGTGTGCAAAGACTTCATATGTAGATTATATGAATCGAAACATTATGATCATGATTCTATCGAAATAGTCCTTGACAAAATCTTTTCTTTATTATTATTTGGTTATATTTCTATCTTCAAGAAATCAATCAAAATAGATCTTATCATTTTCATCAAGCATTTAGAAAAAATTCTTCATTAATCTTTGACTGTTCAGCAACACTTTTTTTTTTGTCTGAATTACAAATACAAAATCTATTGATTAAGCCTAAAAAAAATTTTTATAACAATCAATATAATTCTTGATTTTTTTTATGCTCTACATGAAAATAATTTATCTTTTTTCAGACGATCATCATTGAAAACATTATCAATATAGTTAATATAGATTCTATCTGAACTAAAATGATCGTTCACGTCTGTTTCACATCAAACTATCCTCATATTGTTTTTTTTTTCGTTCACAAATCAATCGCTCAAATCATAAAATTACTATAAGCAATGATTCTATTCTATATTTACATATAATAATTAATCCTAGATGCTATTCATGCTTACAGATATAGAACAATAAAATAATAATAATTGCTGGACTAAATCCAAATTTTCGTATGTTTTAATATTAAACCTGACACCAAAACAAAACATCAACAAAAGAATTTCTATCGAAAAAAACAAAAATGACAAAAAATTCGATTGTTTTGCACATGAAAAAAAAAAAAGAAGAAAACAATGAAAAATCTGATTAATAGAAAACAAAAAAAAAAAAGGTAAGTAATGCACAATGACAGTTAAACATCTATAAGGTAAAGGGGGAAAACAAAAGCAGTCGTCTGATTATCAATAGATAAAATGCACAAATATGTAATCAATCATGATATTCTTCAAATTCTGGCCATCGATTATTTGTTTGTGTGCCTAGAAATAAAATATGCATAAACAAACTAGAATATAAAAAATAATTTATTTTTATACCATAATTTTGATCCCACCAATTTAAATCTTGTTCAGCACTATGTGTATTTAAACCTATCTTATAATCATCGATCATCTTGTTCAAGATCACACTAAAACAAAAAGAAAATTTTGAAATTTTAATTTTTTTTTTTTTCTCAAAAATTTACTTGTCGTGTGTTAATGTTTCTAATAATTTAAAAAATTCATCATATGTTTCTTTAAAAAATTCTAAACGTTTTCTTTCAAATGTTTGTGTTCGTTCAAAAACTTCTTTCATAGCTAATTCATAACGTGGTCTTTGTTCTCGAGCTTCATTTATTGCTTGTTCATATTTTGTTTTAGTAAATCCAACTTCACGTCTTGCTACTTCAGCTTTATCAGCTAATTTTTTTCGATTTTCATCTGATGCATTACGTTCAGCATCATCAGCGGATTTAGCTGTTTTACATGCTGCATAATAAGCTGATTTTGATTCATTTATTTTTTCTAATAATTTAGTCCAAGATTTTTGTGCATCAATAAAATCTTTTTCAAATTCTTTTGTTTTTTTATAATGTATTAAAGATTTTTCATAATTATCTTTACGCCATTGTCGAAGTTTAGGTATTAATGAATCTGTAAGTGAAGATGATAATGCTCCATGAACATCAGCCATTTGTTCACCTAGAATATTTGTTTTATAAACTAAATAAAAAAAGACAAAGAGAAAAAATTACCTGTTGTTACTGTTTGATCCCAAACTTTTTTATTTGTTCCATATTCTTGTGAT